GTGTGTGTTGATCTAAACTCTGGGCAATGGAACAAGGTTTATAGCTTGAACTGAAATTGGCTTAGTTTTTTTAGGTATGTGTGTTTGCATTAGCTTTGCCTTTTCCCTTTGGAGTATGTTTTCTCTGTGTGTTTATTAAAGACTTGTAACATTACCAAGATACAAGCATATTTACTATTTCTTTGATCAGTATATGCCATTTTGATTCGAGGGAGAAAATGCCATGCCTTAATTCGAGTCACATTTTGTAGGATTAAAATACAATGTGTGCATTTTGCTGCTTAGTCCCATATGTTTTGAAACTATTAACGTTGAATATTTGCAACGATATAATGTAAAGAATATTGCACGATAAGCTGAAAGAATATTATTGCTTTTAGGAAGTCTAGCTAGTTTATTAGCTCCCAAAAGTTAGAAGTTCAAAATAAATAAAAACTCTATCGATTCAATATCTCAATATATTATTAATACTTCATAGAGACGTTTTCTAAAATGATTGTATAGAGTTTCTCGAAAATACTAACCTATCAGAGCAACGAAATCTTCTGTGTTAAGTCCAAAAGCAGCAAAGTTGTTGAGTAAAACCGTGATGGAGTCAGCAAGAGACGGCAATTTTTTTCCAAATAAACCGACGACCAAGATGAAAATTAATCCATTTAAGATGCATTATGGGCTGGGAGGGTAGCTTGTTTTCTCATCAGTGTCACCAATTTCGTCCGTATCAAGATTTTCATGGGCTGGGAGTTGAAGATCAATCATTTTTTTCATGACCTTCACATGTCTAACCTCGAACACATCCATCAATAAAGTAATTGGTTGATTTGGTTGGACCGACCATTTATAAATCTTTCCAATGGTGGGGACCCAAAATTAACTCGGTAGGAAAATAAACAGATTGTGATGTTTTTGACAGATTGTGATTGAAAGAAATAGTTTAGGAAAAATCCGAAAGTGTAACCAATAATATACGTTTCCACCTACAAAAATAAAACAGTACTGGAAATGATTGGTACTCTCCAAATGTAGCATTTGAGTTAATTCTCTCAAGGTTGGAATCGAGAGAGACCATTTACTTTACTTTGAGCAATGAGGTCAATTATTTTTGGTCGGTCATTCATATTTTCAGTCGTCTTAGGTCGGTCATTTATCTTTTTAAATAGTGAATTACTTTCTTAATAGGTCAAGTTTCGTTTTTTTTTTTCGCCCTCCCTAATCTAGTTTCAAATGCTGAAACTTGAGTGTACACCCCTTACCAAATTCATAATGCTAAGTTATGTTTTGGAACGTTGAATATAACAACACGTAGTATTTTCATTGTAACTTCATACTCAAAAAAAATGTCTCATAATAAAAGCTTGTTTCAACGGCGAACAAACCAAAAAAACATTAAAACATCCAAACAAATTTTATAGGACAGAAAACCCAAAAATAATGAAGCAGTAACCAAATATAATATGCTAAATTTTTTTTTGCTTAGGGACAAAAAAAAAAACCAGCATCATCACAAGCATCCTAAAGAGAAGAAATAAAAGATAAAACTAAAGTACATAAGAGACTTCTTGACACATCCAAAAGGTTCTAAAGAGAGCCC